TTTATGCACCATTAGAAAAACTAGTTAAAAGCATGTTTTTGTTGCCTGCCTAAACAAGCAATAAGATTTTGACCACAAGAGGGCCCTGCCATAGCAGAAAATTAAGAAACAAGCAGCCAAACACTCTCGACATCCTGCAGACCAGGAAATCTTTACAGCTCCTGTCTGGTACTGCTTTGTCACAGTATTTGTGGTCCAGCCATGCTCTCACACTTGCTCTTTTTTCCCCAGACACAGCTTATCTCTGTTCCTGATTTTGCCATATGTATTTTCTTTAGGTTGCAATCGAGTTTGATCAGAATGTATCTATCGCTTTCACGTGCCTGAGCGCAGACTGCAAAATCATCCATGAGTATATTGGGGGCTACATCTTCTTGTCAACCCGCTCCAAGGACCAGAATGAAACACTGGACGAAGATCTATTCCATAAATTAACTGGAGGTCAGGAATGAGGTGAAGTAAACTCTCTTCCCTCTGCCTGCTTCTCCCCGCAGCTAAGATGACCAGAAATTAAACGAAAACCTCTCTGATTGTTAATTGCTGGCTAATAAATATTGTACATGTCAATCCATCTTGTAATATGACTGGACTATTTACAGTTTTTGTTAAATATTGAAGCCAAGGTCACTGGATGCAATATGGCAATTCCATCGTCAACACTAGGAAAATTAAATCGTCTTTGTTTTCCTTTTGTACAGCTAGAGGTTTTTAAATAAACAGTGTCTAGCCACTGGGCATTTTTGAATCTAGTATTTTTAATTGCAAGAGTCTGTTTCAGCATCCAGAACAAGTAACTTGAGGATATTGTACGGCAAATGTACTCCTCTGTTACAGCCGTGCAACTCCCACTGTTAAACTGGCCATTGTTAAAAAGGCCAGCATTTAACAGAACTAAAGCTGATTAAATACATATTTTAAGGCTACATTACTTGTCTAACACTTGCACTGGGAACAGAAAACATTCCATCAGTGTTCCAAAGTCCTGTGGACTGTGCTATCACAACCCAAGTAGTGATTACACAATTGTTCAAAAATGTAGCACCCGTGTCTACCTTCATCCACTTAAGTAGTTCCCTTAAAGCCAGAGAAGCTACCAGACACCTAAAACCAAAGCATTAATCTTGGCAAAATGGGATTCAAAATGTTGATCTTTTGAGGAACTTTGTTAATTTCCAGGTTGAAAAAAATGCTTTAGGTACTATTTAAAATTATTTGCTTGTTAAAAAGGCCTCTGAGTGTAGGCCTTTCTATTTTCTGTCCCTGTTACTCTGTTTCACTGTGACATCTAACTCTAAACTTGTTCATAAGTTGAGCAAGGAGCTGAAATGCCTGTAGAAATGATCTTACTCATGTATGTAATGCAGAATACAAAGAGATTACTCTGCGATACCGTGCCTGAGGAAGCAGATCTGTAGCAGCCAGCTCTGCCTGCTGGAGGGAGCCACACACATCCACCCAGCTGAAAGAAATTTGGTTCTGCCCTGCAATGCGTAGTGATCAGTAAAGCAAGGAGAGAATGAAGCTAGGAGGATTCGTGAAACTGCTGGGCAAACCAAAACTGGTTTCACATATCTAAAGGAATACAATGGGCAGGTGTTGTCATGTCACCAAGCGATGTCGCAGAAATCACTGCGTAATTCCCAACCGTCACTGGGACTGGACAGCCCTGATTTTTCTGTCATGTCCTCTGCTTTTCCCCAGTGCCTGTCAGTAGGCTGCAGTGGAATCGCTCCCGATTTGTGCCAGTTTAAACAAACTATAGCTTTACATTTTGCAAAAGAAAGAGCTGATACAGCCTGCTTCCCAGCCCCCCGTACTTCCCTCTCCTCAGCACTTTTTACACAGGGGCTGAGGGACCCATCCAGTTTTCCCTCAGTAGAGGACTTACCCACTTCTCACTTGCTTGACACAGGCCAAGTATTTTCCTCAGCGTGTGAGAACCACCTATAATGGACAGTCCAAGTCCAAACACTTGCAATATTTAAAACCTGCCCAAGGGTGCTGTGGGAGAGCTGAATGCGCGTCTTAGTGCCAGCACTTCTTCCGCAGGCAGCCCTCTTCCAGACTCGGCCTCCACTTTGGCTACCGAGTTGCAGTCAGGACTGTGACTGTGCCTGTGTCAGAGCCCCTCATTTGGCAATGACAGACTCCCGTAAATTGGTCATCGGGAAGCACAGCCCTGTGCTTGCCACTCTCGGAGCAGACCTTGTCACACGACTGTTGCATGGAAGCCCTGTAGTTGCCACCTGTCATCTAAATGACCTGAACACGTGAATGCAGAGATACGGGAACTTTGAATGTAGTTCTCATTAGCAGAGTGTGCGGCGCGTTTTACTGCTAAGCAAACATGCCTACTTGCGGTCCAAGTTGTCTGGGCTGGGATTTCAGAGAAACGATCAAATATTTCCATTTTCTTTCCTGCCCCTCCCTCGGTCTCACTCCATGTGTCACTGCCTTTCGAGTAAAGAATTCCCGCTGCTCTGCAAGGAGGAGCTCTGACAGCTCATCCCGGCTGGCTGTAAGCCTCACCCTTTGTCATTTTAGCTTTAAGGGAATGATCCCTTGCTGCTGTCCTGTCTCCGTGTTTCTTTAGGTCATCAGCTACCTTTCTCCCGGCAAGGCTTTTCCATGACAGGTAAGGAACACTTAGGAAAGGAGTCTGTTTTTATCCAGCTGCCTTCAGTGCTGCATGGGGGCAGTGACGGTAGCTCTGCTTCCTACAAGCAGCCCCAGAAGAGGTCGGAGTGGGAAGGCACGACCCAGGGCACTCCTGCACCTCCGTAATTCCGGGCTGGATACAGTTGGCAGCTCCTGAGAGGAGGCCTGCACCAGCCTGCTCTGCCTGGCACCTGCACCAGCCCAGCTCGGGGCCAGCCACAGCACGGAGTCATCTTTCATCCCTCCCCACGTCACCAAGCATGTCCCAGCCAGACTTCAGAAGTTCCCCTTAATGCACACGGGGTACCACGCCCTCCCTTACTCATACAATAACCTGATTAAACTTGGCTTTCGCTTGTTCATACCACCTGATTTACACATGGAGTTAAAGAACATAGGCTCAGCGGTCTGTAGAAACCAAGTTATTAATTGCACGGTGCCAGATGTGTGAGATGTTTTACAGAGAGAGTGAAAGCAGGACAAGGGCATCTGCCCTGAAATTTCGCAATCAGAGACAAAATCCTGGAGCGGAATCGTGTTTAGACGAAAACAAAAGCCTTTAGGAAACTAATACCTCGACTCGGCTGCAACCCTATGCTGTGCATCGTGCTTAATTAAACCAAAGTCAGGTCAGGGTAAAACACTACCAATGTCAGATGGCTGCTGTCTGTTCTGACAACAAATTCTGTAGGGGATTTCACCCCTGCCTTCAGCATGTGTTACTGCAGCAGACAACACACACACCCCAGAGTTTTCTGAAAGGTCAGGCTAAATAATCCTGTTCTTGCATTCTCTCCCTGTTCTCTGTAGGAAAATGTCTTGCTTGTGCTTGCTCTGTGAACTGACCTGCAAAATTCTTCTTTTCTTTTGTTGGCCTTAAAAGCCATTCTCCAGATTTTTTCAGGATAGTTTCATTCTTAACCATCACTTGGATCACGGCCAGTGAGAAACATTCATCTCTTAAACTTTACAGCCTGGTACCATCCTCGCCTTCTCCTGCTCTCCCCGTGCTTCTGTTTATCTCGGTGTCACTAGGGAATGCAGGGCTTATCCCTAGAATTCCTGCAGGCAGAGGGGTTTTGTGCAGCACTGAATCAGCCCCGGGGTGGGGGCGTCTGGTTCAGCTCTTTGTGCATCATCCATGTGAAAAGGCTGACAAAAATGCCTGCCTTTACTAAACGTTCCCCCAGGTTGCCACTGAAACTCTTAAAAAAGTAGAAAAAGGGAGAAGAATAACCTGAAGAAACTCAGCGACATGAGAACAGGCCAAAGTGACTCACAAAGGGGAAATCTCTGCCTGCTGCTACCAGATAATTTCAGAGAAACTGGTGAGAGAGGGCTGCTGTCTGCCCTGGGAAACCTTCACCAATACCTGGGCAGCTGTTTGAGACGTAGTACCATAGCAGTAATATTCCAGATGATTAGAGTTTGCAGCTAGGCAAAGACCTGGGGAAATAGGATGCCTGCCTCAAAAACTGGGCATCCAAAGGTGGAAAATAAAAATAACAAACGCTCATTTTCCAAGGGTGCTCTGCTTCTTGCAAGAGGTTCTCTGTACCACTCGGAAGTCAAGCACCTCTGGGCAAAGACTCCACCTCCCTTCCACCTTCACTGAAATGAGTGGCCCGCTCGCTAGTGGCCAGGCTGCTTTTCCAGTCTTACAAGGCTGCTTGTCTCAGTCTCCAAAATGAAGTCAGTGAGGTTGAACACATTAAAAGTAAGGCAGCATTTGGCCCTCCAGGTTTCATGGAGTAGTTTTTTGAGAGATTAAAACCAACATAATAACCAATGAAAATTCACTGTCTCTAAGCACTGAGCTAACGGCAGCAAACACAACACGGGTACTTAATAGCCCGAGGCAAAGCGAGACCACCTCCCTGCTCCCCAGCTTCTCTCAAAGAGGAGCTTTGCAGCCAGCAGGTCTGCAAAGCCAAAAGGAAGGCAGGGTTTCCACCCGCCTGGCAGGGGCTGGACTTTCCTCCTGTTATACCAAATTCTTCAGATTTTTTTTAACCTGCTCCAGTTTGCCCTTTGAACCCAGCAGAGTGCAGACCTCTGAAGGTACCTGTTAGCGCGCACGTGCCAGGCCTGTACGCTGCCCTAAACGCAGGCCTGTGAGCTGCTCCACCAGGGTTAATCTATGGGATTAGCCCCTCATTTAGGAAACTATTTGTCTTGCCTTAGAGCCATTCCACACGGGAACAATACGTACATCTCGCCCAGCCTCCAAGGGAACCGCAATGGCTCCAGAGAGTCCTACTAAAAGACGGTATCTTGTTCTGTGGATGTTCTGGTGTTTTTCAAGGCTCTCTCCCCACGCAGATAATGAATGACATGGTCAATAGATAAGCTCTGCGTACATGCAGACTCAAGGTTTTTGGGAAAGCAAGACCTTTATCTGCACTTTAGTACCCAAGCATACAGGTCTGTGTTGCCTTCATGTCATGGATCTCTTTTGTTGTCCTGACAAATGAAAAACACTGACTACTGTTCTCCCTGGAAATTTTAATCATTAATTGTCTTATAGTAGCAACTGAACAACCACCCTTTCGCTTTTACTTTGGAACAATCTCGATCAATTCACCCCTTTCCTGTTCCTGGCTTTACTCTCAACCCTTGACCAGCCAAATTATTATTCGAATTGTGGGAATGCTGAGAAATCCGGCTCAGGGCAGGTCCCTTGGTGGGAGATACTTTACATTGTCAGTCTTACTTATCCAGCAAAGGATGAGAGAAGGAGCCGAATGGGAACTCTCCCAAGCTATGCAGTACGGCAGATGCAGAACAGAGAACA